AAATCTAAAACGTGGGTATGTCAAGTAATTTATATAAAACAAAGGAAGAAAATGTTCATTAGATGAAGAATCAACGATCGTTTTTATTCCAAAGGTCATTAGTGTCAAGCGTCCAGTAAAGTTCTTAATGGGAAATGCACTCCCACTCCCCTTGCATTCCTTTTAAATTACTGTTGAGCGCATTGAACATTTGGACCGTGACCCTCCTCATCATCATCTTGGGTATTATTATTCAATACATTTTGCTGTTGAATAGAATCAAGACTAGATAATTCAACTTGTTCAATCTGATCGATAGGTGGTGATTCGTTCTTTATAGATGAGGGAAGAATTTCTTTTAGAAGATCCAACTTGCTGACATCATCCGTCCAGTTACGTTCAGGAAATTCGATATCAAATTTGATATAAAGAGTACCAAAGGTATGATGACGGTGAGACGGCATACCTTGTGAAGGGATAGCCTTAATCTCATCTAAAAATGAATTCGCATGAATTAATCACTTTGATCAACTAATATTAATATAAGGTTAATATAAAAAAATAAAAACATACTTGGCTTAATAGATTCAAATGGGGTAACCTTGACTTCAAGTACTCGATTATCAAGGTGTTCTATATGGAAAATTCCTCCTGCCAAGGACGTTACCAGATCGATTTTAGCCGTATAAACAAGATCATCACCTTTCCTTATAAAACGATCATGTTGTTTTTCCTCCAGATAAATGACAACATCACCGGGTTCGATACCAGGGGCTTGATCAGCTTCACCGTAAAACGTTATTGCTTGACCGTTTTTCATACCTTTTTCAATATGTACCTCTAACACCTTACGTTCATTAATGACTTTTTTACCATTGCACGTTTTACACCGATCTTTGTCCCGGATAATTTCACCAGCGCCATGACAATCGCTACATGCCTGCTGAATCTGCTGCACCATAGGACCTAAAGTCCTTAAATGAATCTTATAGCCTGTACCATCGCATGAGGTGCACTTCTTGACGGCGCCTTCCTTTCCGCCTCTACCATCGCATGTTTTGCAGATAATATCCTTGTTCAAAGATAACTTTGTGGTTTTTCCGTTATAGAAATCTTCCAGGGAGACTTTGAGAGAATGTTTAAAATTCTTTCCTTTCCTTGGACCCGTTGAGCGACTTCTGTTGCCAAACATACCACCGCCACCGAAAAAGCTGGCGAACAGGTCTTCGGGTGACATACCACCCATTCCTCCCTCGCCAGATAGACCTTCCTCTCCATATCGATCGTAAACATCTCGTTTTTGATTGTCAGAAAGAATTTCAAAAGCATGTGCAATTTCTTTAAACTTTTCACCAGTGTCTGGATTCTACGAATTTGCGCGACATCAAAAATGATTAAACAATATGGTTTATTATCTGGATTCATTATTGTCGAATTATTATCTTTATTCGAATTATGTAAGATTTGTATCATAACTTAAACATCACGATGCCGTGTATATAAAAATCCATACATCTCAAGTCTATTTTCCAGAAAAGATAAGGTAATAAATATTTTTGTATAAAAAATTTACCTTGTCGGGATGGTACTTGAGAGCTAGCTTTCTATAAGCCTTCTTTATTTCACTTTCTGAGGCATCTGGTTTAAGTTCCAGTATATCGTAAAGTTTTGTTTCCTTTACCATAATGTTTGGTTCTTATATGAAAGTGTGAGGAATCGCCGGTGTCTTGAACTAATAAAATCTATTCACAACTATTCGACTTTCCTTTTTATTGAATATATCCGGAGTTTGAGTACCTTTTAAATTTCTATTTAACTTTTTCCTTATTTACGTTATCTTATGGTTGATCTATTGCTGGAAGCTTCTGGATACAACCAAATGTTTCCAACAGATTCGTAGATTGGATACGTAACCCATCGATGAGAATGATAAATATGCTATTTTAGGAATATATCGTTACTAATGCATCAATCCATATTCTTTTTTATAATACTGTATATGAATTTTAATAAATTATATTATAGCATAAGATCTTTAAATATAACTTATAAAAATAAAATTATAGGTTTTTTAATAAAATCAAACTCTTTATAATTATATATTATAAATTTTAATACAGAGGGTACCCATATTATTGTGAACACTTTTTATTATACAATAAAAATTTTTTTTAATAAAAAAAATTAATTTTATTATAACAAAATTAAAATTATATAT